TCTTCTCTTCTCTTCTCTTCTCTTCTCTTCTCTTCTCTTCTCTTCTCCTCTACTCTACTCTATTCTACTCTACTCTACTCTACTCTACTCTACTCTACACTATTCTCTATACTATACTATTCTATTCCTTATTCTATATTCTATATTCTGTTCTGTTCTATTTCAATCAGAATAGAGTTGGAAGGGAGCCTGGAGATCTTCTAGTCCAACCCCCTGCTCAAGCAGGAGACCCTACATAATTTCAGACAGGTGTCTGTCCAGTCTCTTCTTAAAAGCCTCCAGTGATGGAGCAGCCACAACTTCTGGTGGCAAGCAGTTACACTGGTTGATTGTCCTATTAGGAAGTTTCTCATTAATTCTAGGTTGCTTCTCTCCTTGATTAGTTTTCACCCATTACTTCTTGTCCTGCCTTCACACTATTCTATTCTATTCTATTCTATTCTATTCTATTCTATTCTATTCTATTCTATTCTATTCTATTCAGTTGTCAAATGTCTCAGTTGATCACGTAACCCTGGGGATGCTTATGCTGCAACAGTTATAAGTGTGAAAAACAGTCACAAGTCACTTTTTTCAGTGCGGTTGTAACTTTGAAGCATCACTAAACAAACTGTTGTAAGTCAAGAATTACCTGCATTTCAAATCCCCAAATGTGGATACAGATAGTCCTTGACTTATGATCATAACTGAGCCCCAAATTTTGGGTGCTAAGGGAGACAGTTGTTAAGTGAGTTTTCAACCATTTTACAACCTTTCTTGCCACAGTTGTTAAGAGAATCACTGCAGTTGTTAAATGAATTTGCGTTGTTGGATTCCCCATGGGCTTTGCTTGTCAGAAGGTCGCAAAAGGGGATCTCGTGATCCTGGAACACTGTGACTGTCATAGATATGAACCAGTTACCAAGCATCCAAACTTTGACCACATGACCATGGGGATGCTGCAACTGTTAGAAGTATGTTGTGGTTAGCCGGCAGCAGGTACGGATGGCTGAGGAGAGCGAGGATTCAGATGAGAGGCCAGGACCCTCAGGGAGTGGACTGCTGCTTTCAGAGATTGTGGGGGCTGGCAGCAGCGATGAGGAGGTTCCCAAGGAGCCTGTGTCCAGTGCGTATGAGCTCAGGGCTGCTTGCAGGAAAGAGCAGCTGCAGCAGCATGGGCGACTCGGGAGTAAGGATGCAAGGTAATAGCCCAACCTTCAAGAAGATAAAAGCCATCTGTGAATCGGATGTTCTTTGCAGGAAGCAAAGACATTTTGAAACTCAGCCTCATTGCGGTATCTGAAGTTGGTTTTTGAAGACTCTTGTGTTGTAAAATATCTCTAGGTAACCTTATCGGTTACTCTTGGCAGTCTTGCACAGTTTTGGTGAGGCTTGTACTTATCAAAGTTAATTAGTTTGCAGCAGCCTTTTAACCGGGGATTCGTAAGAATCATTAAAAGATTTCAGTCCTCTTTGGTTCGTGTTTGTTTTATTGGAAAAGGGTTTGGGTCAGAGTAACGTATGAAAAACGATCATAACTCATCAGTCACTTGTTTTCAGTGCTTTTCTAATTTTGATGGCCATTTTCTTCCTCCTCTTCTTCTTCCAGCCTTCCAGCCCCACATTCTCTAACCCACCCCCTCAGCCTGTTATGATCGAGGAATGGGCCTCAGTGCCAAAACCGAAGCCAGACCAAGCGGTTGTGCGCAAACACATCGAGAAGATGGTGGAGGTAGGAAACCAGGGTACCTGGAATACGGAGTGGGTGTTGTGTGAGGTGGTATTTTGCAGATGTATTTCATGCATAATTCATTTGAGATCTTCCCAGCCCATCAGCTCATCGGTAAGATTCTTGGAAAATATGAGTCAGTTTTGCAGAATAATTGTCTGTTGGATAATTCTATTTTAAAGAGTTCTGCACAGCTCAGCCTTCCACAGCAGGATACCTTCCATATATGAAGATGCTGAGTCCCAAAATTCCAGAGATAGGCCCACTCCAATTTTGAATATTCAGCCATAGAGAAGCAGAGAAAAGTAAACAAAAACTGTGATCCTTAAGTTTTTGTTCGAAAACCACTACAGTGGGTGCTATGATAGTTCATTTCTTAACAGATAACAGAATAACAGGGTTGGAAGGGACCTTGGAGGTCTTCTAGTCCAACCCCCTGCTCAGGCAGGATACCCTATACCATTTCAGACAAATGGATGCCCAGTCTCTTCTTAAAAACCTCCAGTAATGGAGCACACATAACTTCTGGAGGCAAGCAGTTCCACTGGTTAATTAACCGCACTGTTAGAAAGTTTCTCCTTAATTCCAGGCTGCTTCTCTCCTTGATTAGTTTCCATCCATTGTTTCTTGTCCTGCCTTCTGGTGCTTTGGAAAATAAATTGACCCCCTCTTCTTTGTGGGAGCCCCTCAAATAATAGAATACTGCTACCATCTCACTCCTAGTCCTTCTTTTCTCTAGACTTAAAATTGCCATGTTTGGAGACCCTGAGTTATAGATTTCCGGCATCATCCCAAAACATTCTTTTCTTTTAGTCTGTTTTCCGGAACTTTGATGTCGATGGAGATGGGAATATTTCCCAAGAAGAATTCCAAATCATCCGGAATAATTTTCCATATCTCTGCAAATTTGGAGACCTGGATGAGAATCAGTAAGTGCTAAAAGTCCCGCAGTCTCCACATTTAATCCCTTTCCTTGTATATTATATTATTTCGGTGTGATTTAATTCCAGCAAACTCCTAGTGATTTTAGTGACTTAGGCACACGTCTTAAAGCTCCCAATTTGGAGATCTCTGTTCTAGAACATAGAACATTAAGTGAGTCTTGCCCCATTCCCCCCTTTCTAGCCACAGTTGTTACGTGAATCACTGTAATTATTAAGTTAATAACATGGTTATTAAATAAAGCTGGCTTCCCCATTGACTTTACTTGCTGGAAGATTGCAAAAAGTGATCACATGACCCCGGGATATTGCAACTGTCATAAATATGAGTCAGTTGCCAAGAGTCTGAAATTTAATCATGTGATTATGGGAATGCTGCAATGATAATTAATGTGAAAAAGGGCCATAAGTCACCTTTTTCACCGCCATTGTCACTCCAAACAGTCACTAAACACAAAACAGTTGTAAGTCAAGGACTACCTACTTTTACAATGGTTATAGCAGCCTGGAGTCATGTGACCACCATTTGCATCCTTCCCAGCCAGCTTCCGACAAGCAAAATCAATAGGGAAGGCCAGATTCACTTAACAACCACCTGATTTACAACTGTATTGGTTCACTTAACAACTATGGCAAAAAAGATTGACAAAATTGGGTGCAACTCACTTAATGGAAACTCTAGTCCCAATTCTGGTTGTAAGTCAAGGAGAATCTGTAGGTGGTACATTATATTATTTGAGTGAAGTGGTATTTATACAGTGTTCATTAGATATGACTAAGACATTGATTAGATAACATAATCTTTCTTTAAAGATAAAGAAGAACCCTTATGATAATATTAATGTAATTGGTCCGTGGCCATAACAAAAATTTTGTTCTATTCTGTTCTATTCTATTCAATATTTTACTCTATATTCTATTCTATTCTGTTCTGTTCTGTTCTATTCTATTCTATTCTATTCTATTCTATTCTATTCTATTCTATTCTATTCTATTCTATTCT